GGGGGGTCGGGTCTTCTGTTTCTTTTGTTCCAATTCCTTTTTGACTATCGAATGAATTAACTAGAGGCTTGTTAGTGGAGTTGGTTGATTATAATAAAGATGTAGATTGACGTGGCGAGTCTAGTCTGATAAAATTGATGGCATTTGGGAGTTGGTTGTGAATGAAGTGTATATGTGTGGGGATTAATACTATTTTTCTCACTAGAGTAAACAATTCTATTTGGGTTCTTGTATTATATAATGATGAAAACAAACTGTACCAGTTAAAGATGGTGTTACTATTATTACTGTTGTTCTGGATTTGGGTTTGGATTATTAGCTAGCAGTAGCCTATATATGTAGTTTGCTAATTTTGTTAAATGGGGCATCAGATGTGTGTTTTGATTTTATTTTTGATACCAAGTAACTGAATGGTTGCGGCAGGCAGTGGGGGTTGGAGAAGCTGCTGTTCAGGGATTCGAGAACAAAGATAAGGCGAGATCGCAAGTATGCAATACAGGCAAAGAACGCATATGCAACGGGAGTGCACATGTCGGAGAATGTGATCGGCGGAACATTGCACAAGACGGAGACCAAGATCAGGTACTACCACTACCACAATTCAATCACGCATCACGCTGAGCTCTGCCGTCAATTCCTGCCAATGTCCGCCAAGAATAACATCACCTGGCTCCACGACACACCATATGTATACGACGACAACATGAAGAAGCTTGCCGCCACCATCAAACAATTCGAGCTCAACACCATCGGATCCGTACAATATAATGTCTATTCCTGATTTTATTTTTTTCCTTTTTTCTATTATTAATTTTTTTGCATAGATATAAGGTATATCTTTTTTGCTTTATTTTGCCTTTTCTCTGGATGGGGACCTTCTCACTCACCGACACCATCAATACCAACCCTTCACGCGTGGTCATGAATATATATGGTTTTGCTGAGGCCATAGTCGTGCTCCTCTCTCCTCCACCCACATGGCCACATCTACCGCTGGAGCCAGTGGTCAGGAGGACGACACTAATGAAAGGGAAATGATGCGCCCAGCCAAATTTGGGTTTGTTGGTAAATGGTCGGCGTTTCATTTGCATTCGTTTATATTTCATTTCTTTCTTCTTTTTCTCTCTTTATATATACAAGTAAGTATAAATATAATGTTAACGGAGAGAGAGAGAGAGCGAAAAAGTGTGTATGTGTTTCTTGACTATGTTCTTGCTCTGGACACATTTTTGGGATAATTGCTATTTTATAAAGAAGATTTAAATTGGCACAACAAACTATATATGTATATAGACATGCAGCGACAGTACGTTGTGGCACTGGCATTTGGCAAGTGATTTAATGATTGCTGGTAGAAGAGATTATTGCAACTTAATTATGAGAGATGGGCTTCAGTCTATATATCTAATGAATGAACAGGGCACATGCAACATGCCACATGGGTTGGTTGATTACTTTAATTATTTTTGTAACATGCCAATGGAATGACAGAGCCCTAGGTGTAGCAGGACTAGGAAGCTCAAAACAAAATTTCAAAGACTGACTAAATACTGCTGCTGCTAAAACACTCTGTTTAGTTTGAATTTTAAAAACAGCTTTTTGATCTCAAATTTTTAAAAAACAAGAAAAATTTGTTTGATTTGGGTTTTTGTTCTGTAATTTTTGAAAAAAGATGGATGTAAAAAATAAAAAATGAAAAACAACCTAGACTTGTTTTCTGTGTTTTGCAAACAAAAGAAAGGAAATACAAGAATACATAGAACAACTCAATTTTTCATTAATGAGGTCTCTCCTTCAAACTTTCTTAGCAGTAAAACTTATCCAACTATAAAAAAGCTTTTTTTCTTGCCTTTCTCTGTATTTTTTTTGGCTTTCTCTCTCTCTCCACGCTCCGGCGAAAACCAGACGAAATGAAGCGCACACACGTATTTTTGGATTCTTATCTGAGTTTGCTCCAATGTTGACTCCAACGTCGATTCCAGTGTCATCTCCTTTCTTTCTGTGTAACAAATCTGTATAGATCTGTGTATATATATAGATCTACGTTCATATATGTATATATACTCAAATCTCTATGTGTATGTATATATATATGTGTGTGTTGTGCGATGTAAGTGTGTGTGTTTGTTGTATGTGTGGGCATTTGTTTGTTGCGTGTGTATGTTTGTGTTGTGTGACAAGATAATGAAGAGAGAGAGAGAGAGAGAGAGAAAGCTGTTAATGGAGGAGGAGAAAGAAAGTTGATGTGTGAAAAGATAATAGAGATAGGAGAGAGAGAGAGAGAAGCCTCGAAGTCGTGATGCTTTACTAGAGAGAAAGGATTTGTGGTGATAAAAAAAAATTTGAGATCAAAGGTGATATTGATTTTGTGGATCATTGTTCAAATAAATTTTACTATTTTCTGTTCTTTAAAACTATTTTTAAAATCATATAACTAAAGAGGTTTTGTAATACAAAAATATACAAAAAAAATATTTTTTTAAAACTCTTTTAAAAATTTATTTTTAAATACTGTTTTGTGAAATGTAAACTAAAGAGGCCTTGTGTTTCTTCGATTGCTTAGTTATATTCCACTTTACCCAACACTTGGAATCTTCACGAGGGCCAGCATTAATGACACCCTATCACTTTCTATTACTAAAAACTTGGAGTAATAATATATGAAATTGAAAAATAGACTTAATAATTATAATTATTGATTTTATTATGCGTTTTAGTATTTATTAAGATCAATTATTTATTCAATAATTTTGATTATTAAGTCTATTTTTAAAATTCATGCAACATTGATCAAAAACTTGATATGTCTAACAATGCATGATGCAAACATGTCCGACATGCTACTTTTTTTAGGGGGACAAATTTCACACAATTTCCTTTACATTGATTTTATTACATAGATATCCCTTCACATTTTAAAAATTATACTAAAATTCTTTGACATTTTGAATATTGTGATAGCCAGACTCTTTTTTGCCCAACAGACATCAAGAAGACCGAGGATCAAAGTTAATTTTATTAAAAAATAATAATATCTAAAATACCCCTTACACTCTATAATAAGTTCTAATTTGTCAAATTTTTGATACATTTGGTAAAGTGGTTGTGTGTGAGAGGTGGAAAGAGATCGAGAGAGAAAGTTGGAGGTCCTGTTGATTGCGTAGAATGATTGTGAGAGATAAATGGATTGGGGAGGAGAGCTTTGAGGTAGTGGCAATGGTAAACGGTGGGGGTGGGGTAGAGGCAAGGGAGGGGAGAGGGAAGAGGGGAGGGTGAAGGGGGCTTTGGGGAATAGGAGGGTTCCTAAGTGTAGATAGGCTCATGAGTCATGAGTCACAGGTAATGTATTGTAAGCTTGGGCATTGATGATTTGCTTAACTCTCGATATAAGATTTGACTAGTTAAATTGAGGATAAAATAATCTTTTTGTTTATGCAATTAAAATTGTTCAAATGTTGGGGTATCAATGTAATTTTTAAAATATAAGGATGCATTCATGTAATAAAACCAAATGTCAATGGGTGTGTATGAAATTTACCTTTTTCTAATTACGGATAAGAGTAGGACGTAATGCATTTTAAACTCGTACAACATAGTAGCTTGTAATAATGAATTTCTTAATAACAAACAAAGTATAGCAATCATACATGGTTATAATAATTTCTAAGTACTTTTCTTAGATAAAATCTTTATTTGCCATTAGATTCTTTTAAGATAAATGCGCATGGTATAAGATATTACTTATTGTCTCAGTTTATCTGAAATAAGTATTTTTTAAATTCAAGAATACTAATGAATTCTTAATTGTATTCGATTGTTAATCTATACATAATGCAAATGAGAGTTCAATTATTTTGGATAATTAATGTAGAGCAGAACATACAATTCTTAAATATATGGAATTATAGGGGAGACGATTATTTTATTTCACAAAAACTAAGAACAATATAATCTTTACGTAAAGACAATTCGAGTATGAATAATTATATCATAAAAAATTCTCAAGGTATGTCATGAGATTTTTTTTTTATTTTTTATTTTTTATGTATCACAAACATGTTATAATAATTAATTAAGCATGCCAAGAACGTCCATAACATGGGTTTTTTAGTTGGTAAAATTCCATTATGTAAAGTATTTTGTTGTCTTATTTACTCCAATTGCTTGTCCTTTTCCTTTGGCTTTAAAAAGATGCATAATAATCTAAAATTGGTGTTTAGTATAAGGCCTTCTTAAGCTGGTTCCGTTTTTGAATATACAACTGATTGATTACCGGCCTCCTTGCATGTGCCTGCCTTAATTTTATTCGGATCCTGTCAGATTGTCGGTGTAGTTAATTTATGAGAGAGAGAGAGAGAGAGAGAATCCATAAATAAGTAAGCACTGCCCTGACAAATGCTTATGAATAGAATCTTTTTTTGAATAATTATTAACGTTGGGTGGCGATATTCTCCCTACACAAATTTTTATTCTCAACTTATTTAATTTTTTAGTATTAAACTATTAAATCCACTCTTTTATACTTATCATTTTAATAATTAAGTTCATCTCATGTTAAATACACCCCATTAATAGTTAAACTCACTCATTTCATGTACACTCTTTTAATGAAAAAAATTATCGTAAAAAAAAATAATTAATTTGAATGCAAAAATATATTTACGAAACAAGAAAAATAAAGAAACAAACAAAACTAAAACAAGATAAAAAAAAACAACAAAAAATGATACAAGTTAAAAAAAAAAAAAGCATGCCAAAATAAGAAAAAATAAAATAATGAAATGAGAAAATCAAATAAGAAAAAAAAAATAAAAAACATAGATGCAAAACCTAAACAAGATAAAAAAAAAAAAATTAACCTTAAAGCATACATATATATACACACATATAATTTCTAAATAAAAAATTATTAAATTTGACAGGGATATCAAAACATACCGAAAATAATGAAAATTTATATAACAAACATGAAATCAAACATAAAATTAAATTGAGAAGTAATACTTACTTGTATATTACTAAAAAAATTCATATTGAAAAAGTGATTATATGAGTTGTGCATGCAAGATTTTTTACAATATAAACACGAGGACAGATCTCTCCCGTGGTGAACACGAGTCAGTCAATCGAATGGTCAACCTTGCTGCTTGGAACAGACTGTGAGGACAGGTGGTAGCCTGGAACGATAATGAGTGATTTTTGTGGGTCATCGGGGTGGTCCTGCAAGGTTAAGGGAGATTCCTGGAACAGAAAAAAAACGAGTTAGGAGGGCGTCAGAGTGTTTTTCGGCGTTTCCCCTCTGACGATCAAGTCAGTTTTTTGAGAAAGGAGAAGAAAAAAACACTGTGTATAGGTTTGAGAAAAAGGTTTTTGCGTACCTCGTCATGCGTTTTGTGAGGAGTATTTATACCTTAAAAACTCATGATTGCTGTCAGTATGGTCAGTAGGTAATCATTAGAAGTGGGTAATGTGCGCATTGATTTTTAAGAGAAATGACCTCTTCCTTAACTGCTCGGGACCCCGAGCAACCAATGCATCACCCTCGGTCTGTTGAGCGTTTAATGACCTTCACTTAGCAGTGATATATCAAATGCTCAGTCACAGGAACATTCATTGTCTTTCACTTCCAAGTCTTCACGCATTAAATATTGTCTCATCAAGGGAAAAGTGTATTAAATACTTGCTTTCCCAAGTCGTGTGTCAGCAAGGACATTCTGATTTTTGTGCCTCTGATCTGACACAGTACACCACGTGCCAGCTCCCCTTTGATTGAGTCTTTTGTTTTGTTGTGCGTCCTGACACCATTTAGGTAAGACCAGGTCATGATGGCTAATCTAGCCTAGCCCAGACTGATGATCTATCTATCAATAACCCTGCAAGAATAGAAACGCCGATATAGTGGATACACCTCGGTGCCGAGGGCCTAGTACGATTAGGGGCCGATGTACCCCCCAAATTCGACCGAGGAATACATGTCGCCCCCGTGCATACCGGCATCGTAGATCCTTATGCATAATATCCTCATCGGGGGAAGAGGGATCATGATCCGACGAGCACATGTCGTGATCACAGCAGAGAGTATTTCTTTGACACCGAGTACACGTGTCGCTATCTTAGAGTGTCTGAAAAATGTCTCATCATGAGATGAGATAGAGAATGAAATTCTAATTATAACAAAATATAAATTGAGTTTACTTATTAAAGGGAGGTGTATGTAGCATAGGGTGAACTTAATTACTAATGAGGTGGATATAGAATGAGTGAGTTTAATAATTTGATAAAGAGAAATAACACCACCCAATAAGGTTTGGCTAAACAAAACAACCAATAAATTATTTTTCAAT